TATTGTTCTTGCATCAAGTTTACATTCTTCATAAGTGTTTGTGACTTGAGTTTGAGTTCTAGGAAAATTTTGTGGTTGATCATGCACAGCTAGGTTAATATTTTATTTGTTCGAGATTGTCTCCTTAAAGTTTTCCCTATTTCCCTAGCGATTACAAATGAAATAAGTTTTGCAAGTGATCTCTCTCTCTCTCTCTCTCTGGTTTAATATCTAAGGGTCAATAATTGCTAATGCAGCAAATGGACACCAAGTGGATCAACAAATGGATTCAGCAGTGATCTGATTGTTTCTGAGAGTGGAGAGAAAGCTAGGCTTGTCGCAATTAAAGCGCATCTCGAAGCAGTCATGGCCTGACCCTCAGCAGTTTCATGTGTTAAGGTTCTATTTTGTCATTGGTATAGAAAATGTCTCTCATGATAATCTAACTTATCTTTATCTCGGACAGCACATATTTATGAAATCTAAGAATTTTTCTATTTCTAGAGGAAAATCAAATTTGATATGGTAAAATTGCTTGCCATACGTTCTCTATGAAACATGTTTGATAGAGTTCTTGACCAGTGCAACACTGACAACAGGGAAATTTATCATAGCACCATTTGAACTGCCTAATTTGTTAACCCTGAACTTACAAGTAGTCTAACCCTTGAGGCATATTCGAAGCTGAATCCAGATAAACCAGGGTTGTGATAATCTTGAATATCAGATAGAAAGATTACAAATAAATAAATAAAATTGACATACCAAAACAATTATGATATCCCATAATGCTTTCTTGTTGTTGGGTTAAAGGATTTGCATATGCTCACCTTGTACCGCCTATCACAAAAGGACCCGCTGCCTGACCACCTCAATCGGGACCGACCCAATACCGCTAGGAAACTTTCGACACAAGGCACATCCGCAGGTCACAAAGGCGAGCCTCTAATCACAACCAATGCCCAATGCCACCCAGTCCACTCCGCAGGGATTTGTTTTTGAATATTCTCCAAAAAACCTCATACTAGTGGAGTTTACTTGGGACTTATAAGATGTGGAATTTTCTTCACAATTTTCGATGTGAGACTTGGGTTTGCACCCGAACATTAGGCATCATTAATATTTGGTTTTTCTGTTATAGGATGAAGATCCGAGGCTCTCTAGTTTTGGCCTGATGGAAAATAGTCGGGACGGGAAGAGTTATAGAACTAACTTGGCATACACTCCCACGGAGTTCTTGTGAAACAGGTATATCTAGTGTAGTAGTGTATCAATATAAAAGAATTGAAAAACTTTAATTATTATTATTAAATGATATGGTGGAAAAATTATCCCATCAGTCTAGCAAACATGACATTTGAAGTTTCAGAATGTTCAGTTAGTTCTACCATATGATCAAGTAAATAATGACTCTTTAATTAATTTACATTTCAGGTTCAGATGATTTTATTATTTAGCATCTTAGATTTGAAAATATTTCTAATGTAGCTTGTCTTTTGTGCAGGTGAGAAGAAATATGATATGTTGGCTATGTACGCACAAATATATTTGATTGAGTCTTGAAATGTTATTATATTATTTTTGTAGTTTTTTTCATCTGTTTTTGAGAATTGGATATTTATTAATTAGAGATAGAAATTGGTCTGGATGATGTTCTAGTTATCTTTGATCTCATTTGGTTTGGTTGATTTCTTTTTAATTTTCATGATTATTAGCTGAATTCAAAATTTAAATTACCAATTTGCGCTCATTTATAAAATGTTTATTGGCCATGTTTTCGGGTTTTACAAAAATATATATATATATTTATTGAGTGGCGCCCACTGTGTGTCAATGTATATATTATTCATTTTTATTTTACTTTTTAGCGCAGCTGTGGCGCCAATTTATTTTATTTTTAATTTTTTTGGCGTAAAAATATTTTTTTTTAATTTTATAATAGTGTTGAAGGCCGTGACCAAATATAATGTATTTATTATTAATAAAATTGGGCGCTATTGTCGGTGTCTATATTTTTTTATATTTCGGTGACTAAAGGCAATTTTTTTTTTTTATTTATGGTGCGTTAATGACTGTGCCATTTAAGCATATATATAGTTCGGTTTTGGCGCCGTTTCTTTCGCACAAATGCCTCTTTCTCGAGCAGTGTAAGTTAACTAGTGACTGAAATTGGATATGTTCGTGGTTGCTGGGTATTTATATTGTAATCTACATTTGTTGAGATTATTAATTGAGGTTTATTTTTACTTCGAATTAAATCCAAACATGACAAGTCACTTAGTATAACAAAAATTATTTGCTTTAAAAAAGAAAATTATTTTGGAATATCTAAAATTAGTTGACAATTGAACACTAATGCCAACCAATTATAGTTCAGTTGAAAATTGTGAGGACTGCTTTTAATTTTTTTTACTCATTTTGTGACTGATTTCAAAATTGAATGAATTTTGAAGGGTTTGAACAAAATATGCACAGTTCATTCAAAAAAGCCCAATGAAAAAGACTTTTTTCCAAAAATAAATGATGCTCAACATTTTTGTACTTATAAGGTCTGTTTCTTAATTGAAATTATTCTTTGTTTCTTCTTGCCTCTAAAGTTTTTATCGGGTAATTGCAACTATATTTGTATTAGGCATTGTCGGCCGCAGCCTACCCATTGACCCTCCTCTGCTCGGAAGGACTATGATTATGGTTTGTGGGTTGTGGTGATGGTGTGTGCTTCATAGGTAGGGTAGAGGTAGCTATAGTTTCTAAGGGCATGTGCAATGCGGATACTCTATTCACTTTATTCTTTCCACATCATTTTCTTTTTCTGTCAGGTTATCTGAGATATCATATTCTATTTTATATCCACGATAAAGAAAGTCATATATATATATATATATATAGTAGATGAAATCCAAGTGTGAATTGCCAAAAATGAAATAAAGATACAGATTTTTCTTAAATTAGATATTTCACTTGTCGAATTTAATATTTCAAATTAAAGGAAAAAGACCATTTGAAATTATATTTTAAAAATTATATTGTCTAAATAAACCAAATTATAATTATTGTTATTATTAAAATAATAATGAGTTAACTAAGGATTAAGATTAGATATTTTGGTTGTTTGTTGCATATTTTTATTAAAACATGTGTGAGATTATTAATTTGGGTTTTTTTTATTTCGAATTGAGTTCCAAAGTTATAACTCACTTGGTATAACAAATATTATTGGCTTCGAAACCATTATTTTTAAATATGAAAATTACTTGGCAGTTGAACACTAATACCGACTTAATATATTTCCGTCAAAAAATTTATGACTGCTTGTCATTTTAGTTTGTTCTCTTTTTGTGACCGTGCTCGAAATTTAATGAATTTTGAATGGTTTGAACGAAATCTGCAGAATTCATCCCAAACAACCCAACAAACAAAACTCATTTCAAAAGATATATAACACATTATGTATATATCTTAATTGTAATTAATCTTTGTTTCTGCTTGTTAGTAAACTTTTTTATCACAATAATTGCAGCTATAGTCTTACTTTTTAAGATCAGACATTACATCAAATAAGTACAATACAAAGAATAATTACAACACTTATTTTTAAGATAAAGCATCACATTAAATAAGTATTTCGATCTCATCAAATTCAAAATATACAATAAAAATAAATATACAAAAGAATATATCCAAATAATAAAATTTGAGCATACTGTAAATAAAGAGTGAAAAAAAAATTCACCATGTCTACAATTGTAGAATAAGTTTGTAATTTTTTTTTTTTCTTTATACATTATTAATAAGTAACTAATTAAAATTTATATTAGATTTATACGTCAAAAGTAACCATCACTTGGTAATGTTTCTTTTATTATAACTTTAAATTCATTTCTAGTACAAAGCCAAATGTGTCTATCTACTACGAGATTTCCTATAAATATTTTCAATATTGTTATGACTATACAAAGATTATTTATTTATTTGTTTGTTGACATTGAATATATGCTTCTTGTTTGATGTGGGAAAATCGCGGTTCATGTTATTTTGTTAACCTTGTTAAAGAAATTATTCGTGAGATTAAAGGGCCATTAACTTCTTTTTATTTGTTTTCTATTGTTGTTAATTGATAAAAACTTATAGGACACCATTTTAATTTTTTCTTAGATGCATTTTCCAATTTTAAAGTTCTATGTACTTGCTTGGTGTGATTATTCTCATTTGTTATATTACTTTTATAAATTCATAAAGGGTGCCTTCTTTTTTATGCATCTTTATTTTAAGCTTGTGACATTTTAGTTGAAATAATTTTTTGGTGTTATGATCTTTTATGTACGATCATATTACAAAGTGTTATCCCAAAAATATATATATTATTTGGGTTTAAAGGAAGAGAAGACAACTTAATCGTTCAACCCAAGAGAAACTGAAATCCATGACTCAAATAAAATAATATCTAACTAGATTTGGATAATGATAAGATATGGATAAGATAGAATCTTAGTCAGTTAAATTTGGTGAGATTTAGCGCGTGCACATATATATATATATGTAGTCCATGGAGAGAAACACTTGCATACATCAATGCGTTAAGAAGCTTGCAGGTTGCGAATACTACTGTCTGTTGGATGGCTACTAACGTTACCATCAAATTCCCATCAAACTGGAGGACTGTGAAAAAACCACTTTTACCTGTCTATATGATACTTTCGCTTATAGGATGATGTCTTTCGGGCTCTACAACGCCCCAATGACCTTCCATCGATGCATGTACCATATTTTCAGTGATCTCCTAAACTCATGCATTGAAGTACTCATGGATGACTTCTCAGTATATGACAAGACCTTTTCTAGATGCCTTAGTAATTTGGATAAAGTGCTACTCCACTGCATCGATATTGATCTTGTGTTGAACTGGGAAAAGTGTCACTTAATGGTAAATGAAGGAATTGTTCTTGGCCATAAAATATCGCTTTCCGGAATAGAGGTGGATAGATCAAAGAGTGTAATTGAAAGAATGTCAGCGCCTTCGAATGAGAAAGGAGTACGAAGTTTCCTTGGCCATGCTGGCTTTTACCGTCGCTTCATCAAGGACTTCTAGTAAAATCACCCAACCACTCACCGCGCTGCTGTGCAAGGATGCTAAATTTGAGTGGTCGAGTGAATGTGAGGAGGCTTTCCTGATTTTGAAGGAGACACTCATCACCTCTCCCATCATCTCGGCACTAGTGTGGAGCGAGCCATTTGAGCTGATGACAGACGCAAGCGACTATGCCGTCGGTGTTGTATTAGGACAGAAGGTGGAGTCCAAGCTGAATATCACTTATTATGCCAGTAGGATGCTAGACTTCGCTAAAAGGAATTACACTATGACTGAGAAGAAACTACTAGTCATTGTCCTTTCTTTCGAAAAATTTAGACAGTATCTGATCGGGACCAATACCATAGTTCACACTGACCATGCAGCGATCAAATATTTGATGGAGAAGAAGAAGACTAAGGCCCACTTGATTCGTTGGGTTCTTTTACTCCAAGAGTTTGATATAGAAATCAATGATCGAAAAGGGAAAGAAAACTTTGTTGATGATCTTTGAGTAGACTTCGACAACCGGAGGACAGATCCCTAGATATTAATAATTCTTTTCCTGACGAGCAATTGTTCCCTGTGTAGGTTAAGAAGCCATGGTTTGCAGACTTAGCAAATTTCTTGGCCACAGGACAGTTTTCTACTCACACAATTTTAAGGAAAAATGAGCGTCTTCTCAGCTTGGCAAAGAACTATTTTTGGGATGAACCTTATTTGTTCAACATCGGCTCTGATGGAATTATCCGTCATTGTGTAGCAGAATCAGAAGTCTTGTTGACCTTGAATGAATGTCATGGATCCCATGTAAGAGGGCATTTTGCTGGCTAGTGCACAGCGGCCAAAGTTTTGTAGTATGGCTTCTTTTGGCCAACCCTATAGAAAGGTGTTGATGCCTTTGCCAAGGCTTGCGACAAGTGGCAAAGATTAGGCTCTATCTCGAAGCGAGATAAGATGCCTCATACTGGAATTTTATTTTTGGAATTGTTTGATGTATGTGGAATAGATTTTATGGGACCTTTTCTGAATTCAAATGGAAAGCATTATATCTTAGCGGCGATGGATTATGTGACCAAGTGGGTTGAAGCGCAAGTGCTCTCTACTAAAGATTCCCACTCTATGATCCGCTTCCTAAAGTACATTATTTTTCTGAGATTTGGGGTTCCGAAGACTATCATCAATGATGAAGGCACCCATTTTGTGAATAAGGCGCTACAATCTTGCCTTCAACAGTATGGGGTCACCAACATCTAACTACTCCCTATCACCAACAAGCAAGCGATCAGGTGGAAGTTTCTAATAGAGAGATCAAACACATTCTCCAGACCACAGTCAACAAGAGTTGCAAGAATTGGGCTGAAAAATTGGATGATGCATTGTGGGCGTACAGAACAACCTTCAAGACACCAATTCGGATGTCCCCTTTTCCTGTTGGTGTTTGGGAAAGCATGCCACCTCCCATTGGAACTCGAAAATCGCGTGTACAGGGCCATCAAGTATTTGAACTTTAATATGTTGCCAACCCAAAAGAAGTGCGCAAAGCGATTATTTGATCCAACCAAGTTCCAGTATCTTGCATCTGAAAGTGCAAAGATTTACAAGGAAATGATGAAGTTCTATCACGACAAGAAGTTGAAGAAGAAACAATTCACTGAGGGGTCTAAGGTCTTACTCTATGATTCTAGGCTTCACTTATTCCCAGGAAAGTTGAAATCTAGGTGGACTGCGCCATATGTTGTCAGACAAGTTTTGCCAAGCGGAGCCAAAAGAATCAATAATGTGGATAACCTGAGGGAAAGCAATTCATTCCTAGACAATTGAGCGAGAGTGAAACCGTATATTGAAGGGACTGTATTGCTGTAGGCCGAAGCAGAGATTGATTTGATTGAAGTTCAAAAGCTCGCTCCGTGATTAGAACTTAACTGAGATCAAGAATTTCATAATCTTATATCCGCCAAAAGTTTTACTTACTTTCTTCAATCCTTTCCTAGTTAAACTTTTATTGCTTTCTTGGTAGCAGTTTATCGCTTTCGTAATCATATTTTATTGCTTTTATAAAGTAGTAATTTCTTGTTTTCATAGGAATAAAACTAACGCTTTCACATAGGATTAGAATTATCTCTTTCCTAGGCAGTTATCGCTTTCAGTAGAGTAAAATTTAATTGCTTTGTTATCGCTTTTCTAGAGTAACTTAGGTAGAATTTTAAACTTCTAGCCTGAGCCTAACCCAAGCCAACCTTTATTTCTCTTGTTTCACCCTGATACATGCCGGATGAGTGTTACCGCTCACCCAGTACAATTTACCCAATCCCTTGTCTGTCATACTTAGGAAAATTAGAACTGCTGTTTTAACCGCTCACTCGCCCAATATCCCGCCCTTAAGCCTTTATATTAATATAATAATACTGGACTGATTAGAAATTGAATTGTCTGTCTCTTACATCACCCATTAAGTGAGCAAAGAACTCTCCTCTATAAATACCCTTTTCACTCCGTCATTTCCACTTTTATCCTAGAATTAACTTCTTCAGTACGCTAAAGAGAAACCGCCATTTCTCCGTGTTCACGAATTTGAAAAATCTTCGTCTTCCAACCGATTTTAACAAAATCTGAGGTAAGATCTAGGGTCTCCGTGATCATATAACTTGATTTCATGGTTTATTCTTCTTATTTCATAGTCAATAGCGCAGAATCAAAAATTATTTTTGCGAAAACTTATTGTTCGTTGAACTTTTGCAAAAACTTATGTACCTTTATTTTATGTGAATCTGAGACCATTATCTGTTGGATTTAGATATAATATCGGATACTCTTACTTTTTATGGATTGATTTTCCACTTTTACATGGATTTTGTATATTCGTGATTGATCTCCCTTTTTCACAATGACACCTTCCATGGAGTGTTTAGTTTTGTTGTGAGATGAGGAAATAGGTTCCAATCAACGAAAATTAAGATATTTCTACATGTTTAGTTGATTTTTTATCCATGTTGGAACTAATATTGCATGTTTAAGATTATTCTGTTTGCGCAATGTTCATAAGAAAATATTTAATAAGCCTTAGGCTATCTGAAAGCCATCACAATAGATCCAAAAATAAGCAAGCGAAGTCTGAAGGAGGAAATAAAGAAGGTCGAAGCGAAGATTTTGAGGAGGATTAAGAGGATATTATCCACTGACGGAAGGAAGGTGTTGGAAAGAAGCTCAGGTGCTGAATTCGTTGAACCAACAGTGCCTGAAACTTATTACAAGCGAATGAGAGTTCCAGAACTGACTAAGGATTGGAGCGAGCTTAGGAGGCTAAAATCCATTGAATTTAGAACGTACATCCCAATGTTCCCGGAGGATTGCCTGAGATTAGAGTATATAGATGAGACTGACCTGATATATCCGGTGAGCGCAGATGGCTGGACTACGCGGAGCTGAAGGATTTCAGTAGAAGAGAAATTGAGCAGGAGTTCACTCGTCAAGCTGCCACAGAAAAGATGAAGGCCTTTCGATCGGAGAAGATTTCAAAGAAGGACTCCGCCAAGGAAGCGAAGGCAGTACTGGCTGCCAAGTAGTACGATGAGGGAACTCTACACCAACATGAGCCAAACAGAGAGCCCCAAGAGCACTTATATCCGAGGGAAATTGGTGGACTGTTCGGTAAGGCAAATAAACCAAGTCTTGGGATGGCCGCTCCGCTACTCATCCAAGGAGATGAAGAATAAGCTGAACGCAGCGGAGAGTTGCAGCTCGCTGGAGATGCAGTCGCTCTACAGAAACTTCGCCACCACCCCCGAATACGAAAGCAAAATTTAAAGTTTGGGTCGGTGGACGAAAACAAGAAAGAATGGGTAAAATGGTCGCTGAGGAGGATTATTATAAGCTCGCACACGACTGAAATTAAGCCCGAATACCTGGTCACACTGCGTTCAATTTTTTAGGAAAAATTGAGCAACATTTTCATGGCCGTTCTCCCTAACCTTAACAAGAACAACATTTTCTATCAGCAAAGATCAACACTTTCCGGATTGCGCGTTCTTGTTGAGCGAGAACGTCATTCTCTACAAGATATGAAAGTTCGCACTGAAAAAGACCTTCAAGAAATGCAAGACCAATGAGATCGTTATCGCCCCGACCTCGAAGATCTCTTTGACGAGGAACTCGAAATGGTTACTGCAAATTGGGATGTTAGAACCAGAACATGATCACGTTTGTGTCACCCTTTCGGATGACAAATAAAACCCCTTCCTGTGGGTTCAAACCCTCGAAGGGTTCTTAGATCTCTTGCAATAAAAATCAATGACAGTGCTCTAAAAAGACAGGAAAATACATTTTTTTTTTTTTCAGGAAAATACATTTTTAGATACTTGGCATTAATATTTTCATGTACTAATTTTCCTTCCTGATCCACAATAATAAAAGCCCCATTCTCGATCTTTCTGTGAATGATGAAAGACCCCTTCCAATTCGGGGACCATTTACCCATCCTATCAACTTTCTTGTACGTGGATAATATTGTTTTCCATACTAAATCTCTTTCCAAAAAAGTTCGAAGAGACAACTTCTTCCTATAATATCATGCTTGTACTTCGTTATGCCGGATTATTTGTTCCAAGGCTTCCATACGTTCTGTAGCCACTGTCTTCAGATGTTGCATCATACTTTGCTGATACTCCATCGTGTAGTCCATACTAGTGTAAGCCACTCGGAAAGTGTGTACGTTGATTTCGGCTGGAAGTACCGCATCCTGGCCAAACGTGAGCTGATAAGGAGAAAATCATGTGGACGAACTCTTACTGATCCGATGAGCCCATAAAGCTTGGGGTAACAACGTATGCCACTTCCTGGGGTTTCCTTCTATCATTTTCCGAATGATATTTATAATAATCTTGTTTGCTGTCTCAGCTTGTCCGTTGGCCTGTGGATAGTAAGGTGATGAATTGTGAAGTTTCACGTGAAAACTTGCCAAAAATTCAATAAACTTCTTGCCCGTGAACACCAGACCCTGATCAGTGATGAGAGTATATGGAATGCCAAATCGGTAAATGATATGATTGAGTACGAATCAATTACTTCCTTTTGCGTCACATTCTTCAAAGGAACTGCTTCGACTCATTTGGTAAAATAATTGGTAGCCACTAAAATAAATGAATGATGTTTAGATGAAGACGGATGGATTTTACCAATAACGTCAAGTGCCCAGGCTTTAAAAGGCCATGGTTTAACCATTGCCTGCAACTCCACCGATGGCAGATGGTTCAATGGACCATGTCTCTGACATTCTTGGCATCCCCTTGCAAACTTGATGCAATCCTCAAATATTTTAGGCCAGTAAAAACCCATGCGATGAATAGCCCATCTCATGTTAAGACCTGCTCGATGTGCTCCACACATTCCACTATGAACCTCTTGCATCACCTCTAAGGCTTCCTTTGGACCCAAACATCTCAGCAAAACCTCATCTATAGTTCTCTTATATAACACTCCCTCCACTAACTGAAAACGCAAAGCTTTTAAGCGGACCCCCACATGTGTTGATGGCTCTGGTGCTTGCAGATAAGCAATAATCTTGGTTCTCCAATCTGCAGAAATATTAGTATTTCCAATATCAACCTGGCTGCATGCAGCCTGCTGATTTTCTGCTCTTAGGATGTGCTTGACGGTTACTTCTGCAATTCTAGACAATAGATGGTGCACTACATCTCTGTATTGACGTAAATGAGGGTAATTGCATACGTACCACCTCAGGACTTGGTTAATGATCAACTGTGAATCTCCGTAAATGACGACCGACTGAACGTTCTTTGCCACCAACATCTTTAGCCCCAAAATCAATGTCTCGTACTCAGCCGAATTGTGAGTCATTTCCTCCATCTATAGCTGTAGCAGAACCTTTTGTGCGTCAGGCCCTTTCAATATTACTTCTGCTCGTGATCTTCCATTTGCCCGACATCTATCAAAAAACATTTGCCAAGGGTTAGTTCTTATATAAGGTACTAGTTCATTATCCTCGGACTCACCTCTAGTAAGTTCTGCCAATAGGTCAACCACCACTTGACCTTTCATTGCTTTGAGAGGTCTGTATTTTAAAGAAAAAATAGTCAGTTTGATAGCCCATTTCATCAATCTCCCTTGCATGGTAAGCCTGTGCAAGAGCAACTTAACCAAGTCCACCTTGGAGACTACTTCAGTTTCCCTTGACAGGATATAATGCTCCAATCGGGTACAAGCGAACACTAGAGAATAACATATTTTTTCTGGCATGGTATAATTTAACTCAGGCCCTACCAGGGTTTTACTCAAATAGTAAATAGCCCTCTCTTTTCCATTGTCCCATTCTTGGACCAGGATACTACACACCACATCCAGACTATTCGCTATATATAATCTTAAAGGTCGATTACCTTTTAGAGGAACCAACACAGGGGGTTCTGATAGCGCCTGTTTGATCACTTCAAATGCTTCTTGTTGTTCAGAACCCCAAACCAAATCGGCTGTTTTATTTTTTAACAACTTAGTAATGGGTCTTACTTTCCCTGCAACATTCGATATGGATCGCCTCAAATAATTTACCTTCCCCAAGAAACTTTGAACCTTCTTGATGGTTCGAGGCGGCTGAACTGCTGGGACTGCTTTGGCCTTCTTGGCATCCATTTCTATTCCCTTTTCGTGCACCAAAAATCCTAAGAAATTCCCAACTGATACCCCAAACGCACACTTAGTTGGATTCATCTTAAGGTTGTACCTCTTCATCCGAGCAAAGGCATTCTCGAGGTCACCCAAGTGTGTGCTGAAGTCGGCCGATTTCACTATCACGTCATCAATATACACCT